TTGCAAACCTGTGGACACTCCAATCGTTCAGAATCACCACCTTGGGGTATATCCCAATCAAGTACCCACTAACAAAGAAAGATATCAAAGATTAGTGGGACGATTGATCTACCTATCCCATACCCGACCCGACATCGCGTATGTTGTAAGTGTTGCTAGTCAGTTTATGCATTGTCCAAGTGAAGATCATATGGATGCGATTTTTCGGATTCTTAAATATTTGAAGTCAGCACCGGGAAAAGGACTTATGTTCTCTAAAAATGGTCATCTGAATATCAGTGGCTATACATATGCAGATTGGGCAGGGAATGTCACTGATAGAAGATCAACATCAAGGTACTTCACATTTGTGGGAGGTAACTTGGTTACTTGGAGAAGCAAGAAACAGAATGTTGTTGCTTTGTCTAGTGCAGAAGCCGAATTCAGAGGAATGACCAAAGGAATTTGCGAACTCCTTTGGTTGAAGAAATTGCTTACAGAGATTGGATATGCGCCTACATTATGAATGCATCTACAGTGTGATAACAAGGCTGCAATATCCATTGCACACAATCCAGTTCAACATGATCGCACTAAACATGTTGAAGTGGATCGACACTTCATTAAAGAAAAACTTGAAAATAAAGAAATTCAGCTTCCGTTTGTCAAGTCCAAAGACCAGCTGGCTGATATATTGACAAAAGCAGTTTCTAGCAGAGTATTCCACAACTCACTGATCAAGTTGGGCATTGGTGATATCTATGCACCAACTTGAGGGGGAGTGTTAGCAGTTGTCATGAAACACAAAGTGACAAAGCGGAAACACACAAAGTGGAAACCTCTCTCCTTGTCTTAGGGAACATACTTTCTCCCTTGTCATAAGGACCATGTTTTCATGCTTTTTGTCTTTTGATCTTATTCCGTCCGTGTGTGTGTGTCTTGATTGTATAACAATAGAAAGAAATGAGTTGTATAAATTATTACAAGGAATAGAAGAAACACAAAGTTGTTGAAATCAGAAATTATGAGCAGCCTTCAATTTCTCTGCATTCTCTCTACTCAAGTTTCCATTCTCTCTACTCAATCCTCCTAAATTTGACAGTTACTTGGGTCATGCTTAAGCCCATTTTGGCAATGCAAAGTTGATTCAGGCAACAAGTTCAATGCAAAATACGCTTTGACAGCTCGGTACAGAGCCTATTATCAAAACCCATATTGCTAAAATCACAACAAAAAAAGACTAAATATTAAAACAAAGCCTAGCTGAGAACAATAACATGGTAAAAATTTGAGCACCTTGACATTAGTGGAACAGAGCTTAATTGAGTCCTCAGCATCAGTAAGAGCACGTCTGTAGTTACCAAGTAAAAGATTGACATGGACCCTATTTGAAAAGAGAATAGAGGTGTCAGAGTCACTCAAAGCTTGCTGATTTATTGCTCTCGTGTAGCAATCTATGGCATCAGCGAAGTGCTTTTTGCCCATCTTCACATACTCGTTACCCTTGTCCTGCCAAACCCAACAAAAAAATATATATGAAAAAATCAAAGACAATATAATCCTATCAAGTGCTTTTATTGTGTGTGAGAGAGAAAACCTTGAGTTCAATAGCAGTATTTTCTTTGAGAGTGGCTATGGCATCAGGTCAGCTCTTTCGCTTTCGGTTTGGGGTTCAGACCCCTTGTCCATCAATAGTTCCATTGCTTCTTTGAATTCGCTTCTTTTCTATTTTGCTTTTCTACTTGTTCTGCTGCTGGCAGAGTATTGCTAGAACCTTACGCAGAAGCTGGGACTTGCAGACTCATTGTGTACAAAGAGCAAAATATGATTGCGAATGCGTTTGCTGGGCTGAGTTTATGTTTTCCTATAGACCTTTTATGTCATTTGGATTCTCAAGATATATTTTATTGTAGTTTTTGTTTTGGTCCTTCGGCTCAGCAATTGAAGTCATAACCTTTACCCATGGGCTCATGCGAAACTCCGTTGCTACAAACCCAAATAACTTTTTTTCATTTTTCTTATTATACAATCGACCTTGGAGAAGAGAAAAACAAACCTAAAATATTAGGTATAAATATAAATACTTTTAAATATTGAATATAAAAGTAAATACCTTTAATTACTTGAGCTACAATCATTGTACAATAATGACTTTTTGTTGGACCCAAAAAGAAATAAACTCGTTATTTTCATTGGGTTTTTAGTACTAGATATGCCGACATGTTTTGTTAGAAAAAAATAATAATTGAACTTGCTCATAACCACAGAAGATTTCGATGAGAAAGCTAAGTTCAAACATCATCTCCTGCCAACATTTATGGAGCAGATGTTGTTTGATAACCTTTGATTTCTTTTACTGCTGGTAGTCAGTAGCGGAGCCAGGAATCGAAACACAGGGGGTCTTAGTGTAAAATTCCAAAAAAGAAATATTTAGGATAGCATCAACATATATATTCTACATATGCAAAAAAATGAAAATAAAAACTCACATTGTTATTGGAAATTAGTGCGATAAACATTTCAAAGAATCTCATACTTCACTTACGAACTAAACACATAAACTTGAGACATCATTTTATTCGAGATCACATAGAAAAGGGAAACATATAACTAGAATTTATTAATTAGTACAAACTTTCAGTGTGTAGACATTTTCACTAAACCTCTTCCAGCTCTCATGAAACACGAAAACATGTTGGATATCTTTTCCGCAAATTGGACATCTTTTCCACTGAATTAATTATAAAATAAGGAAAAGAGGGAGGAGGGATGAGAGAGGAGAGAGGAGAGAGGAGATTATGTAGTTACCCTAAATTCCTTAATTAAACTGCTGCCTAAGTTTTAAATTTTTTTTTAAAAAAATTAGAATGGCATGCACAGGTTGAGGCATATATTTTCACCAAATTAGACATAACATCATCTCATGCCCTCTCTGTTAGTACAAATTTTGAAAGTAGACCGACCCTTGATATCGTGCAAGCCAAAGCCATGAGGCTTTAGAAAAAGCTAAGTAGAATAGGGGTGTAAGTTGGATTGAAAAATCCGATTCCGACCGATTTCGGTCTCAGATAAATCTGAAATCCGAAAATTCTGATAAATGACGAACATTCCGAAATTCCGATCTGAAAAATTCCGAAGTTCTCTGAATCCATTCCGATCCGATATTTCCAATTTTTTTTTCCGAAAAATTCCGGATTTCTAATTATAATTGAAATATTTTTGTTTAGGTCTTATATATGTTTCATTTCTTATTTGTTAAGTTTTAGTACCCACATACAAATATTTATACATACTAAATATAGGCTTGAAAAAAAATATATACTAAACATGGTAGTGTATAACTTTAAGACTATATATATAAAGGCAAATATGCTTGATTTAATATAGCAAAAAGGTGCATATGTGTGCTTGTTATATCCAAATGTACTACGTACATATATGGTAAATGTATGGAGTATTATACTTTTTCATTTTGTATTTATGTATGTATTTTTTAAATTTTAAACTATCTTCAATTAAACTTTTAATTATAAAATCATTTTATACAAGAAACATAGATTAATTGGAGCTTAACAATTGTAGTATTACAATTGTCTAGAGCAAGATTAACGTCTAACACTCTTTATACATGTTCATGACCCACTAGAATCTAAAACCAATGTGACAGTCACTCGGCTATAACTTGAGCATCAATTGATGAATGTGAATCCATCTTTAGCATCGTATCAAAAAAATTTCATTCACATGAATAAAATATAAATATATAACATGTAGGACAAATTACTTATTTGATTAAAAATCAATATACTATAATAGATTGTTATATATATATATATATATATCACACGCGCACGCCATCTCTCTCTCTCTCTCTCTCTCTCTCTCTCTCTCTCTCTCTCTCTCTCTCCCCAAACTCCTCCTCTCATCCGGTTGGAAAACTTAAAACAATAAAAGGTCAATTCAAAATTGACCAAAAAAATAAAAGGTGAATTCAAACATGCTATAACTTTCAGATGGGGTGAGACCACCATCTACAAAGGAGGCACCTTGGCTTATTTCAAAATAAGCTATGCCTTGGGCAATTATAGTAGGTTCCGAGGATGATCAGAAAGAGGATGTCCTGTTGGATTAAAAACCATCTGCTTTTTTCTTTTTTTTCAATCCTACATCGAATTGAAGTGATGGAAAAAAATAAAAAAATAAAAAAAAGGAAACATTTCTAAATTTTTAAAACTCATTCTTTGATTTTCTTTCTATCTTAATTAAAGGTTTTCTTTGCATCTCAATATACCAAAGAAGTAATGAATTTGTGCAGACCCAGAAAAATAAATGATAAAGAAAAAATATGGATGGTGTGGGGTATTGCAACAAGGGAAGAGAGCTCCAATGAGGATCCAATGGAGAATATATATATATATATATATATACAGTCCCCTTCTATTGAGGGATCCCTCTAATAATTTTATTTGAGGGACGTCCTTTAGGGTACCCTACAATTTTTTTCTCAATGATCCAAACCATCTATTTTTTAGGTCTTCATTCATAGATCATCCTTACAAAAAATTAGACAAATCGGAAACCGTTTCGATATCCAATTGTGTCTTACAAAATCAACGAACAACGATGCATCAAGAAAGTACTCAAATTTCAATAACACAATTGAGTGGTCAAATTATATCGGATTCAAGTGATTTTTTGTAAAGATGATCTTTGAATGAGTATCTACAAAATAGACGGTTTGGATTAGTAAAATATAATCCGGAGTAGGGCCTACAAGGAGTGTCCCTCAAATAAGCTTGTTTGAGGGATCCCTCAATGGAAGCTCTCTGTATATATATATATATCGGATAAATGATTTAGTGCAAACCCAGAAAAATAAAAATGCAAGAGAAGAAACAGTAGAGATAAAGAATAGAAGAATAATTTCTTTTTTGGTTGGAGAAGTGTTTGTTTTTTTAGAATAAAGAATAAAGAATAAAAATGTATATGAGTTGTACAGACATACAAGAAAATACAGAAACCTTTCTCGTTCTTTTCTCTCCATTATCAGTTTCTTTAGTCTCTCTTCCTCTCCTCAAGCCTTGTTTGCATGCTTTCTTTTTGTCGTTCAGCATGTTTGCTTGAACTTCACTGCTTGTATCCCTTTTGGCC